TTTATAGAAATTTGGGTTTCTTGTTCAGCCAAGTTGATTATCGATTCCTTCTTTTGAAAAATAGGCGTGGATTTTAAGATTTGCTGAAACCCTACCTTTTTTTTTGTAGAAATTTAATTTTGCTGTTTTGTCGAACTGAATTTCGGCTCCTATCTTTGAAAAATAGGCTTGTATCTCATATAATGGACCTTGCTGAATCCATACGTAAAGGTTGAACCGGGTTTGTAAGTATGTTTTTTAGAAATTTGGGTCTCCTTTTCTGCTAGGTTGGATTTTGATACTGTCCTTTGGAATTTATGTTTGGATTTTATAGAATGGACCTTGCTGAACAAAGCCAGGTTTAAATTAATAAAGTACGTATTTTTATTAAAATTTGTTTTTTAATTTCAGTATTGGCTCCTTCCGTTGAATGTTAGGCTTGGATTTTGTTGAATAGACCTTCCTGAATCCATACGTCTTGTTAGATTTTTTGCAGCACGCACAATAGTTGAGAAAACTGGGTTTACATTTACAAAGTAGGTATTTTCATATCAATTTTGGTTTCCTGAATAAGGAGGAATAATCGAAAACAGAACGTTTTTTTATAAGAACTAATACGTTTGTTGTATTTCGCTTGATGATTTACCCGGAATTTATCAAAACCCAAAAATCAGTTGCCGACCTAAATTATTATGAAATATTCTTCCTTGAAAGAATACAAAAACTTGCGAAATGTCTTGTTGATAACCCGAGTTTTACACATAATAAAGTCAACATTTGTGGCTCCTGTTATGCATTAGTTTAAAAAAAACACGGTTTTAAAAAATTATAAGGCTAAAGCGAAGGCTAAGAAAAAATGTAAACGTTTGAAATTTACGGTTTTGCTGTGTTGTAAAATAAATTTTGATTGTTTTTTTTGGGTTTTTTTTTATCCCCCCCCCCCTACCCCCTCGACTGTTGCGAGCATCGAGTGACATAAGAAAAACTTTAAATGATTTGTTCCGGCCTTATTGAAAAAAAAAAATCATCACCTGGCTTTTAACTGTTTTTCTTTGAAAGTTTCCTCCACCGTGAAAATTTTCGTGCAAAACATTATTCAGTTTATATTTTTTAGGGATTACTGGGGTTCTTTCCTTATGATTTACTATACAAAAAAAATCTACAATTGTTTCATGACTTATGAATTTTCACAGTACCTGAATAATCAAAATATTTGTACCAAGATGTTCGTTAGCTTTCTGGCCATAATTCAAAACCGGTAAAAGATACTCTCATTACTCTGACAATGGTTTTCATGATTTTTCTAGCAATTCTACTCCACCGTGAAAAATTTCGTTGTATTTTTTTTTATAATATCACAGTACGAGCTACTCGAGAAAATTCGAAACGTCAAATAAAGTTTTCCGGAAAAATTAAGGGGGAAGTACACTTTGTTTTTTTAAAAAAATGCATTTTTTTTTGGCTTAAAATATTTTTTTTTTTCGGTTTAAAATGTTCCTTGGGATGTATACTTTAATTTAGAAAAGACTCCAAGTCCGCCAGAATATTCCTTACCGCTTTACGAAGCGATTTCCTAAAACATGTACCGGCGCGCTGAGAGAGCATTTTTATCTTTAAACGCGTTTATCTCGAAATGGGGTTTTTCAAAAACTCTAACCAGTTATCATCAAATTTGGATATCGCCTAGGTTTTCTTGTTCAGAATTAAATTCTGATTTGAAATACGTATCCTCATTTTCCGATTTGGTCAAAACTGGATTTTTAATCCACGATTTTGTAAGCATTTTTAGGGTGAAAAATGGACTTTTTTTTCCTAAGACCACAACTTTTGAAAAAAATAATTTAAAAAAAAAATCAGAATACGTATTTCTATCTTAAATGTCATTACTAATCAGGATTTTTGTTCGATTTATGTTCCAGGATCACATGGAAAGGAGTATTTTACCACGCCGTTTTCCCACTTCCGCGCGAGGACGCCCGCGCGACCTGGTGCACCGGCCACGGGGAGACGCCAATCGAGTTAAAAAAAATACAAATTGTAGTTCGAAGGATGACTAATAAATGGGTTATAACAAATTTGCCCTCCCTGAGTGTTTTATTGCATAAAAAAATTAACGAAAATGCCTTACTTTTTGGACGTTCAAAGTGTACTACCCCCTTAAGCTCTGCAAATTTTTCATATTTTTTTTTGCATTCATATAATTTTAAACTCTACCCGTGGGCAACATTTCAAAAACTTCTTAGACAAGAGTCCAAACCTATCCGAGAGTATAATAAATCTTCTTGTATCTTTTACTGTTTTTTAATTATGACTAAAAGATTAGTGAATTTTAACAGTAATTTTCAGGAATAAATTTACCACCTCAAAATTTTGATTTTTTTTTTCGTTCATCTAAAAATAAACGCTACCTGTTCGCAATGGATCATAACATTCTTCGAAGCTTCGGCCCAAAACTGCCCGAAAATAAAAATCCACTAATATATTTTGTCTACCTGATCAATGCTCTATCTTTTCACGATGTCGAGTAAAATCAATCGCTTTTAAATTAATCTGCGCACTAGCGCCAACTGATTAGTGAACTCTGAACTGATCAGTTTATGATATAATAGGCTTTGTTCATCTAAACAACTTTGACGAAGACAAGAACCTTTGAGCAGGATCTCTAGATCTATAATGGTGCAACTAGACAATTTTCTTATTAACGCCATCTAGTGCGTAAATTCAGCAATACATTATCCGTTATTCTGAAGACCTTACATTCGAATATATTATTTATATTTGAACATCTTTACTGAAAGAAGTAATATCCAATATGGTGAGAATCTTGTATCTCTGGTATCGATAAATTTCATTTCATAGGTACATTTTTACAATAACCCCTGCAGACCCCAATGGCAGAAATTCAAAGCATATGCACAACCTGTTTACGTTATTTATTGACAATATTTTCCTACGTAATTATGCACTGATTTATTACATTTATTTAACACCATTTTTGAGTAAATAACTTAACGTCATGCAAATGTCAGTTAAGTTATTTTGAGTTAATTTGTACCAATACCGACTCTGTAATTATTCTAGATCTGACACCATGACATATTGTAATCATGCAGAGTCATGAAAGTCAACCCAGTTTAAAATTATCACGTGACACATATTTCACAACATTTCATTTTCGTTACCGGTGTACCAATCTTGATATTCGTGTTATGTTGCAATGCTAATCTTATGTTTAAGACTACCAAAAACCAACATGAAAATTTGCCTGACCCACGTAAAAAGATTTCTCTGAATTAGCACATTCCCACCATTATCATCAACCGAGCAGGAAAAGTGTAACATATATCTTTAAACCGGAGCGCCTAAAAGCAATAATTAATCCTCCGTAACCGATTCCCCATTGTCCGGGGTTTGATATTCTAATTGCGTTTCCTCTCTTTCGAGACAGTCAGCGGTGTGCGCGCTCGAGATCTAATGAAAGAAGTTGCCACCAACATGCTCCAGAGCAGTGGAAAGCGCGTGCCTCCAACCAACCAGTCTACGCAAAAAAAAAGCCAGGCGAAAAATTTACATTAGATGATATCACACATAAAATATAACGAAATTTAGTCAAATGAAATGGTGGGAGTCAGGAGGATTCCATCTCAGGTCTGAAAGATAAGTTACCGCCTTCACTTTACTGCGCCTTGTCGGTTAGAGGAAATTAGCGGGTCATGTAGAGATGTGCGAAAATCTGGATTAGTGCTCGTTCATTTGTTTGTTTTCCCGGAAACTCTTCTCCTCTTCCCAGGGCATTTGAAAAATTGTTGGTTCTTTGGTCAGCTATACTCGATTCTCTGGTGATGTATATCTTGCTTTATGAATTGAAGCTAGGTTTTTTAATTGAGTGGATTGCATTTTCAATTATATCACAATTATTTTGATCATTTGTCCCACAACCACTTGTGAAATGGAGTCGATGAGCTGAGAGCAATAAATCGATGTGTGAAGTCATTTTTAATTTTAAGATATCGAAATAGGCATTACTACCGTTATGCGCATAATAGTCCCATATTCATGCATTTAACTGTACTATAGTAAGCTGATTTTTTTATCATCAAAAAATATTTTCAAAATAAATTTTCTTAAGCAAACATGTGCGTTTATGATAGCCATTTCATATGTTCATTGCGGTTACCCTATTCTTTAAAAAATCAATGTTGAAAAGGACGGGGTACAATTCTAGATGATTCTTTGCTAAGGACGATAGCAGTCAAAATTGGTTGAGAACCACTGTATTGGTCGATAAGGGCTTCCTCCTATAATGTTTTTAAACATATGGGTGCACAATGTTTTAAAGACTACTGTGATTTGACTGTTGAAAATAACGATTGATCAATATTCGGAACAATTTACTTGACTCCATGCTCTGCATCCGATTTTCTGAGTAGATATTACAGCAAAAACAAACCTGCTCAGCGGCTTTGCAAAAGGTCATCGTCAGGGTTTTGAAAATACCGTTGCTTATAATTAATTCACCCGACTACCACCCGAGCCCACCGGTCTGTTAACATAGAGCACCTTTCGCCAGATCATAATTCATTCTCTCTAAAACGATATAATTAATTAAGTTCGCCTCCCCATCGGTAGTAGCGATCGCTACTAGCGAGGATTCTTGGAGAGCCTCTGTCCACCGCGGGATCAGTGTCTGCATATCAAGCATCTCGCATTTTTTTTTTTTCTATTTTGCTGACTCGTGGTCTCGAGCATTGCCATTGAGTTTTACGACCGGCAATTTGCGTAGAGTCCACACGCGGTGCGCAATTGCCGCACCACTGTAATAAAGAACCATAATATGCCCCTATTAAGCATTGTTTGCCTCTCCTGAATAAACTGGTCGCGGATTAACGGTACAGCTGTGAGCATTGAACGTCTCCTCTCTATTGGAACGTTTTTAAACGAGCAGAACGATGCGATAAGGTCAAATCTGGCCCCTTTTAAGTGATTTATTGGGTCTGCAGATAATTGAAGATAATCGAATGTGGGAAACCGGCGGGGTTTTGAAAAATGACGTCAAATTTATTCAATTAGTATTTACAAAGCATATACTGAATGGTGCAGTAGTTCCTGTGTGTCGTGTGTGGGACGCGCTTTACATCTTGGCCTGGAAATAGAGCATGGATTAAATCCTATGACAAAAGAAAACTAAATTGGACGGTGACTCACGTTGATGTGTATCGCTAGAACACCATCTTTGGCCGCAGCTGGAATATGAATCCTGGCAAGACCGGTTGATCCAACAGCGATACTTTTACCCGTACAGGTCCCGTTTATCAAACTACCGGAGATTACATCACAATACGTTCCAGTTGGTAGACATGTTTGCGTCTCTCGATTATAGTCGTAGCTATCCAGATTGAATGCAATAAATCCTCTCCCTCCGCGACAGAAAGATATCTGCTGGTTTCCGTTATCCCACCAATCATTTAACTGCGTTCCTACGACTGCATTCCGGAAACCAATCATGTTGTAAATCTGTCGCCAGCGGTGTTCGCAAATCCATCCGTTCCCACAGCTTTCGTCTTCGTTAATTGAAGGTGAAATAAGGTTCCCATTGGCATCCTGAGGAGGTCCCTGATCCGAAGAGTCGAATGCAAATGAGCTCATAACACGAGGTATTCCAAACGGATGGGCCAACATGAAAGCGGTTGCCATCTTGTAGTTTTTAGAATTTTTATATGTCAGAACGTCGCTTCCACCTGGACCATGCCCACGCTGATTATCGTGATTGTCGACAAATACAAGCGCCAAATGCGATGCCAGGAAACCCCAATCAGTGCCCCAGTTGTTCAACCATTTCAACTGTTTGGAACCATGAAATGCGCGCCCAATCTCCACCGAATACCGGAATTCAGTTACAGTTCCCAAATCAGTATACTCATTCCGCGAAATGCCTTCACCACCCAAATCGATTACTTCTTGAGCGATAAATGGTTTAGCACCAGATTTGAATCCATGAGATGCATTGAGCTTCCTGACACTTCCGTAAATCACTTTCAAATCTGCTGGCCACATGTGCTTCACAGCATCCACACGGAACCCTGCTACACCATAGCCAATAAATTTATTCATCAAACCGACAATTCTATCCCGCACCCATTCAGTTGTTTGATTAAGATCTGGCAATCCAACAAGCTGACAGTTTCGAACCTCCCAAGCGTTGTTGTAGTCATTGATCGAGCATGGCTCATGGAAATCGTTCCGTTCATATGGCACAGCCGGAAACTGCATTTTTCCAGCATTTCCAGTGGATCCACCCGTTCCTCCATTGTGAGTAGCTGCAGCCATATGGTTGATCACCAAATCTATATAGATTCTCACTCCAACATTATTGCAACGGCGAACCATATCAGCAAACTGCTGCTCCGTCCCAGAACGAGTCTCCAATTTGTAGGAAATCGGTTGGTATCTCTCCCACCAAGGTCGCTTTGGATCGTTTACGATCGAATTCTCCGTTGGTGGCGAAACTTGAACTCCTGCATAGCCCCTTGGTGCCAAAAATCGTTCACACTCATCCGCAATATCATTCCACTTCCATTCAAACAGGTGCACGATTCCACTACGATTTGCCCACTGGTTGGTGTCGAATTGGGCACGCACCAGTGTCACTAAGACCAGCACGAAGCAACTTATTAATCTCATCCTACAACCGTTCGAACTGCGTCTGTCGCAAAACCCGTTCGGTTCTTTTATACATAAGATTAGCTTCGAGATTCATTCTTTGCGCTGTAGCTAGGGTTCTGGTATCAGTAGAACCGTGACCAGTTTTACCGGTAATACCGGGTAATATTCTGGTACGGAAATAACAGTACTGGAAAGTAAAAAATTTGGTATTTTCGGTACTGGTCATTTGAAAAATGCTAAGACTTATTACAATTTTCGATGCTTAAGGGGAAGTTTGCCGTCCCGAAAAAATACTACGAATTGATTTTTTTTAAATATTGGAGAATAATATTTTTGAGGAATTTGTGTCAGCATAGGACTTGAATAAATGAACTTGAAAAACTGTAAAAATCAACCATTCGGTTTTGATTAGGGTTCAACTTTTTTCATGATGAAATTCTAAAGAGTTTATTTGATTTTTAATATCTCTTCCAATATTTCTAGAGAAATAAAAATGCATCCAAAAATAAAATTTAAATGTGCCAGAAAATTTAGTAGAATCAGAGAGAGCATTTTCTGTGCGTTGAAATTTCGTGACTGATATTCGTTCTCGTATGGGAGATGAAACGTTGAATGTACTCCGCGTATTGAAATTAAATAATAATAATCATGAAATATTCAGGAGGTATAATAAATTAAAAAATTCTTGTTTTCTCTTTAACATTAAAGAAGTGACCATTACCATATGAGAAATGGAAGAGGAACACTACTCCAGCAATGATTTTTCTTATTTTAGTCTATTGATATCCACTTCTAGTCATGGAATCCCTAGGTACGGTTAATTTACCGTTATAACCGGTAGTGAACCTCTCAGTACCGAAATACCGGTACCTGCAAAATGGGCTCGGTACTGACAACCCTAGCTGTAACCCAATAAACACAAGAATCTTCGTACGTATGTACATTTGCGAGCGAATCAGCTTATCGATTACACGAGCCATGATTCGAATGGGAGAATCCTAACGTTAACCGATGGCGCCGGGGTGGGATGAAGAAAGTACCACGAACATGCAACTGATAACGTTGAGATGACGACGATCGGAACTGAACTGGAAAGCATCATCAAAGAATCTCTTCCGTCATCTCGCAGCGCAAATTTTACTGGCAAGCCGTAATCAGAAGCGCCAAGAAACCTCTCAGTAGTGCTTGTTATTGTTGTGTATTTCATGATGGGAGAAAAGTATCAACAACTAACCAGTCACTGCCACTTAGTGGTGATCCATTTATTATGTCACGCTCTTGTTGAGGGGGGGGGGGGGGGTATGAGTCTGTGACAAGCAATGCTTATGTATGGGATAAAACGCATTCAAGGGGTGGACGAGGGTTTTTTTCAGCAATTTCATGTGACATGATTTATGCATGACCCCTTACAGAATCTTATGTGTTATCTGAGCAGTTAGGTAAACAAATACCTCGTAACACGCTTCACGCTCAATAACATCTCTATCTCAAAATTTGCTGGTCACAAGGAATGGTGAGAGATCACAGTACAAATGATTATTCAAATTATCTTTCAGCACAAAATGTACTTTTTTTTTTTCCTTTGGTTTGTTTTTTCCGTCGATCTTGTTTTCCGTGCTGAGCACCAATGCTACCGACGTACCAGGAAGGCAGCTCCCACACCTGGACCCTACCTATCGACCCATCAACTCATGAACCGAGGACCAACGGCTTTACTTCCCATCCGAAGGAAGGCGTGATCAGAGATGCCTCAGAACATCCCGGCGGCGCCGACTGGTATTGAACCCAGACCTGCTGGGGTGAGAGGTAATCATGCTTACCACTACACCACCGGCGCCGTTACACAAAATGTACTGATTTTTGCTCGAAAATGTGATGACATGTAATCGCCAGCGATTCAAATGAAGGATGTCTAGTGGATTCGAGATATATGATGTTTGTATTTATTAGGGGTTAAGTTTTGTGAAAGTTCAAAAACAATTTTTGTGATTTAATTCAACTTTAGAAACTTTAGTAGTTTTGTTAAAAATATTTGAGACACTACACTATAAACTATCATCATTAATTCTATCAATTACTTCTTCTTCTAGAATTTTAACGCGTCACAGCGAACTTTTTGACGGCTCTCAACTTATTATTCTAGATACACTTCCACAGTTATTAATTGAGAGCTGCGTATGCCAACCAATGCACCAAGGGTGTCCAAAAAGTTTCTAACCCGAAAGATTTGGGTGTTATTCGGTTTAGGACGGATTAAGTCTCATGGTTAGCGTTAGAGTTGTTATGATATACTTCGTAAATTGAATACTAGCGACACTCACGTCTCTTCTGAAATTCTCACTTAGACTACTTTCAGGAATAATGCTGGGGAGTAAACATTGGTTCCAATCCAAACAAGAGTAACAGAAGCATGACTGTCGCTATTCCCGGCCACGCCCATCTTTACCATAACTAGGGATAGGGAAGGAAATGTTGATGTAGTACTTACTTAACGAGAGGCCACCGACTTAGCGACACCCTCATAAGTGCTACGGAGTTGGAGGGTTGGGTAGGGTATTCGGTTAGGATTCACCCAAGTTAACGATGCAACCAAAAGTATGTTGTTTGTGATCATCAAGCCTTGCCCACACCAGACTACATCCCTGAACTACAGCAGATATACCTCGACCGAAGATGGATATGATCAAACACTACCTGCATCCGATCAACCTGATCAACCGAAGTGATAACGGCGATAAGAGAGTGAGTGCCTCGTCGATAGTGGATGATGACGGCAACAAGCGCCCGCCCGCGCTCTCTTGGATTCTGGAGCTGAGAGCAATTTTCAACTCTCGGCTAACCTGCCGAGCCAAACCTGCTGATCATCTTCCCTAGGAAGCGACAAAACGATAGATCGAAGGACAGTCGTAATTGGGTCACCGGCAAGAACCTACGCTATTTTAATTTGTTAATATTAAGAAGAAATATATGTATAAGTTTGCATGAAGTTTTCTGTGTTCCGCAAATAAATGTGCTTTTTATTGTAACTGGTGCATAGTTCGCGAGTGTTAAGAATCGAAGAATTCCAAGGAACATTTACTGGATAATGTCCCAGAACCCACGAGCTTCCACCAAGGAGATCCTTAACCGGTAATTGGTCGCCTATTGGTCCCCATTTTCCTCCAACCCATTGCTCAATGTCGAACTTGACTGCCTCCAGTGCGTCTACTGTCGAAGGTCAAGGAAGGTGAAACGGCCAGGTTCGTTCAGTATGTATTGTTTATTTGTTATTTATTTAATATCTCGAAAGCCGACTATCGAAAGAACATATTCATTTTGTTTAGTGATCATGAATTTTAAGAGTCATGACGGAGAGCTTGGGAATAAACCCATGATTTTCTGCTCAGTAAGCAAAAACGATCCCTCCAGGGTCATCGAGCATCTCATAATCCACAGCACTTCGCGTCAAAGTACGAATATATGGATGAACTATCTTTTATTGAATAACTATTATTTACGATTTTTACATGAAAGAAATAAAATATAAACTACAAACAAAACGTGACTACTAAAATCTCAAAAAGATATTCTCACAAATATATTTCACGCAACCAGGAATCTCAAAACCATTAGACGCTATAATGATACTCTGCACATGTTAGACACAATAGGAGGCTAAAAGCAAGCGTCCGACACTTGCCAAATCCACTTGCAGTCACAATCAACGATTCTCTCAAAGCGAAATTGACAGGCTCTATGCGTCAAACATCCGCCCTCCAAGCTCCTCCCGCGTCCAACAACACAAATCTTCATTACAACATCTAACGAATTCAAAACGCCGAAAATCACTCATCTATAGCAAGTGAGTGGAAGCAACCCTGAATGTAACAATTCTTCATGATACACTTTTTCTGCCTATCTTTCTATTAAACCTGTGGACGAGCGTTAGCTTCAAAACTTCTAACCAAACTGGGAAAATGATCAGATTACAAAATAAAAAACTTTTAAAGGTAATTACAAGTAAAATAAATATTGATTATTTTACGCAAAGACGAGCAAGTAATATTAAATCTCTTGTATCGTATGCTAATGTCAATTGACTGTAACAAAAATAATATGCTTAAGTAAAATAAAATATTAATAAAATTATATGCAAAATTTACTAGAAGATCATTACTTTATTGGTGAGAAGTTTCTAATAAGCCCTCCCAGTTCCTCTGTCTACAGAACAAATCTGATTCTATAATCAGAATTGCTCAGTCTGCATGAAGCAGCCGATTTCATCAAGGAAGTTCTATTAACAACCAAAAATTAATCGTTTGAGGCATACTGAAGCATTAAGAAGGTGATATGTGTCACTATAGGACATCATCTTAGTTGCAAATATAAAGAAATTAAACATAACCCTTTACTTCAGTACCGTTAACCTCCATGTCCATGGGGAGGGAGGACGGATTAAGTCTCATGGTCCACACAAACCGGACCGGTCAGAACCAGTTAATATATTCCAAAAATATTCTATAAGATCTTAGTACCTTCATTTGGTGGTTGTTGTTGGTCCTATTCCGTTCAATGGTTGTGGAGAAACACGTCTTAGTTCCCTAAATCCGTATTTTTCGGATGTTTTTTTTCCGTAGATATATCCGGAACAAGTCAACCGATTCCAAAGATATTCAAACATCATAACATCATGAAATCTTTCATTTGGTGATTGTTGCGTATAATTCGGATTAGTTGTTGCCGAGAAACACGGCTTGGTTCCCTAAATGCGTTTCCATATCTCCGGAACCAGTCGGAGCTTCCAGAAACAGTTTGAAACGTCCTATGAGACCATCCCAAGTAACATTGCAAGCTTTATAGAGGTTTTATAGCATTCTACAAGTCTAAATCATGGTCTACAGAACCCTCATAAAACCAAAATTGTTACTTGGGCATAGAACCTTTCAATTGGTGGTTGTTGCGTCCGATTTCGGTCAGTGGTTGCCGAAAAACACGTAATAGATTTTTTTTTTTCGTAATAAGCACATAGTCATTTTCCTGACTCGCTGACTGGATTGGTATAT